GGCTAGTTTCTACATAACTTCGAAAGGTCAGAAGCATGGACATGACATTAAAAGTCTACAATTTGTTTCGATCAAGATCATTTTACGATTGGATTGTATCCCGATATATCAGATTTTGGAGGATCAATGAAGATTTCTTTTTACCATATGATGCGATTGATTTAAAGATGTCAAATTAAATGTTAACTCAGTCTTGTAATGAACATGGAACGATGCAAAATAAAATAAAGAAAACATCTAATATAAATAAATTTGAAAATATGTATTTATAAATTATAATAAGTTAAATTAATATTAAAACCTTAAATTTCGGCGTAAATTCCTTGTTGGTGGTCTTTCGGCGTAAACCCCTTGTTGGTGGCCCTCTTTCGACGTAAATCCCTTGTTGGTGGTCTTTCGGCGTAAACCCCTTGTGGTGGCCCTCTTTCTCGACGTAAATCCCTTGTTGGTGGTCTTTTGGCGTAAAATCCTTGTTGGTGGCCCTCTTTTGACGTAAATCCCTTGATGGTAGTCTTTTAGCGTAAACTTCTTGTTGGTGCCCCCCTTACCTCCTTAAATTGATCTTTTCACTCGATTAAATCAAATGCTGCAAACTTGTGATAAATCTTTTCATTCTCAACTCATTCATTTACAAAATCTTTCTCGAGCTGTGGGTTCCCGATTGGGAATCCAACTCAAACTCAATTTCACATCAAATCCGACCTTTTCTTAAACAATTCTTTGGTTTGTTGGTTGCTTCGGTCAACACCAATACGCGCGGTGTGCCTGTTCCGCACACCACACCTATTGGGGGTCCATTTTTTGACCTCATTTTTGTGAGGTCTTCTCTTCTCCTCCTTAGAGCCTAGGATCTAATTCTAGGAGTTCTTATTGATCGTCTTAGAAAATTAGAATTGATACCAACACTTTTAGAAAATTCTAGCCAATTCTTATTTTTCTTTGATGTCTAGCATCTTTGGCACAAAACCATCGTCTTATGAACGAGCGGTTATGGGCTATTTTGCGAAGACTCAAGGGAAAAGTTTCTAATATGACTTCAAGCCTTAGGAAAACATCGTCACGACTTTTTCGTCACATACACACACCAAATACACAAAGTTCACAAAATTGCACGGAATCGAACTTCAATTAAGCCCAGAGGAGGGGTCAAAATGCGAACTTCTCCGGACGACCTCCAACGACAAATTGGACTGCGCCAACGCGTCCGGGATACCAATTTTGGTAGGAAAGGACACCCATATTG